TATGAGAGAAATTTGTTTTTTGCAGGACATCATCTATTAAAGAGAAGAAGAAGAAGAAAAGGAGAAGAGGAAAAGAAGAAGTAAGGAGCATAGAAGACCCTTAAACCCAAGGAAATGTTGTTCTGTAAACTCATTTACAATACTTGGTGGTCTTAGTTTCTTATTTCTTACTATCTTTGAACTTATGATCTTTTGATGAACATTGTATAAACATTTGGCTTTACTCGAGGTCGAGTAAAGAAACTAAGTGTGGGGGAGTTGACATTCATGTAATTTCCATGCTTGCGTTTATGTTTTTTATTAGTTTAGATTGATTATTATCTTGGAAATTACACAGTTTTGGTGTAATAGTTTTATTTGTAAAAATGTTTGTAATTTGTTTAGATTAGGTTTATACTGAGCTCAAACAGGTCCACGATCACTCTAGGGACCATTGGTGAACATCACAAATGGAAGGAAGGTGCAAACAATCTCTAGATGAATTGAAGATTGATTTTTTGGTGTTGTACCCGGTCGGATATGACCTATACCCGATCGGGTACCTTGTTGAAAAATCAAATCGGATCGGATCCGGGACAAGGCAACGTGCAGGGGAGATTTTGGCACGATCGACTGTTCATACCCGATCGGGTGGCCAACATACCCGATCGGGTATAACCTAGTTTTTTTATATTTCCGCGAAGCAACCAAGTACCCGATCGAGTGCCCTTACAGCCCGATCGGGTACACGACCCTGCAAGCCTAAAAACCCTATAAATACTCCCCTTTCCTTCCCACAAAAATCACAAATTAACATATACTTCTTAGCTCAGTTTAGATAAGCTCTTTCTTTATATTTTCTTCATGTTTAGTCTCCAAATGAGGAGCTAAACTCTTCCATCTTGGTTTTGCTACTTTGAAGCTTAATGAATTTCTAAGTTGTGAGTTATTTTCTTTAATCTTCTTCCTTGAATATTAATTATTTCCTATTCATATTCCATATCAGTATTTTGAGCATAACTTAAAGGATCAACTAGTTTTGTTTCATATATTAATTATTACTAGAATCAATCGATTAATACGCTTGTTATTAATTGGGTTCTTTCAACGGTAGTAAAACTTGGATAATTAATGCATGCGTCTCATGGTTAATAACCTAAGGGGAATTAATTATATTGATTAAACCAATAAACCGCTTGTGTTGAGGTTATCAATCTCAATCGTTTTCATCTTAAGTTTATTGCCACTATCGGGCTAATATACGACACGTGTTCTATATTAACTCGGTAGTAAGTTTTATTAATGAACGCGTCTCGTTATTAATAACTACCCTCGATGAACTGGATATTCTCCTCGATTGAGTATTCGAGAGGAAGATAGTTAAAGATATAACCGGGATCGACGAACATTTCATTAAGTGGATAAAAGCAAAACCAAGTCCTCATCTCTATAAATTAAACTCATATAAGTCGTTTATCTTAGTGTTAATTAAATTCAATCAAATCAAACTTAAAACCCCCCTTGTTACTATTTATATAAAAGAAAAGTATTCCTTTCCCTGTGGATACGAACCTTACTTCACTATACTACGTATTAGTGTTGTATTGATAAATTATTTTGAGTGCATCTCACGACAAGTGCACGTCAGAGGGCGTGGAATAAATGCATAGATTCTTACTTGAAAGAGCATGACTTTACACCATGCCCATACGAGCACGCCCTATATATACTGAAGGATAGGACTGCAATAATGTTTGTCGCTTTGTATGTATATGATATTATCTTTATGGGCAGTGATAAGAAGATAGTGGAGGAATTCAAAAGGAGCATGAAACAAGAACTCAAGATGACTGACCTCAGACTCATGAAATATTTTTGGGCCTGAAGGTTAATCAAGGGGAGCACAGAACTTTTGTATCCCAGGACAGATACGCAAAGGAGATTCTAAAGAACTTTAAAATGGATAATGCAAACCGGTAGCGACTCCCATGGAGAGTGGAGCCAAATTGTGTAAGTTTTAGGGAGGATACTGATACGTTCGTAATTTCCATTTCTATGTTTATGTTTTTAATTAGTTTTGCTTGACTTTTACTTTGGAAATTACACACTTTTGGTGTAATAGATTAGATTGTTAAATTCTTGTAAATAGGTTAGATTAGACATTTTCTGAGCTTAAGCAGGTTTTGGTCACCCAAAGTACAGTTGGTGAACCCAAAAAGTGAAGAGAAGGTGCAAAAGTTCAAAGACAAAAGAAGATCCTGAATTTTGGTCTATACTCGGTCGAGTATTAGCTATACTCGATCGGGTATTAGGTTGGAACTTCAAATCGGATCATATCCGAAGACAAAGGAACATGCAGGGAAGATTTTGGCCACGATTCTATGTCTATACCCGATCGGGTAGACCGACATACCCGATCGGGTATGCCTTTAAATTGCAAACGAAGATCGGTCGAGTATAGCCCGAATACCACTTTCTAAGCATACTCGACCGGGTATTCATATATACTCGATCGGGTATGCCTTTAAATTGCAAACGAAGATCGGTCGAGTATAGCCCGAATATCACTTTCTAAGCATACTCGACCGGGTATTCATATATACTCGATCGGGTATACACTTAGAAAATAGCCTGAAACCGGTCGAGTATGCCTCGAATCGGATGTTACACACATACTCGATCGGGTACCATGTATATACCCGATCGAGTACCCGAATCTCATCCCAAAAACCTATAAATACACCTCCTTTCCTTCACAAAAAGATATCCAATCCCTTGTACATCTAAGCTCAGTATAGAATAGCTCTTTCTTTATATTTTTCATCATGTTTAGTCTCCAAATGAGGAGCTAAACTCTTCCATCTTGGTTTTGCTACTTTGAAGCTTAATGAATTTGTAAGTTGTGAGTTATTTTCTTTAATCTTCTTCCTTGAATATTAATTCTTTCTTTCAAAATACTATCTCTATATCAAAGTTGGGGAGTGTTACTAAGATGACAATTAGTTAACATCTTGACATTGGTTATAGTAATAGCTATTTCTTCCTCTATGATAATATTGGGGAGTGTTACTAAGATGACAATTAGTTAACATCTTGATATTAATCATAGTAGGATTCATATATTTTAATATTCTTCCTTGAGTATTGATTAATTCCTATTCATATTTCATGTTAATATCTTAAACATTACTTAAAGTATCAACTAGTATTGTTTCTCATATTAATTATTACTAGAATCAATCGGTTAATACGCTTGTTATTAATCCGGTTCTTTCAACGGTAGTAAACTTGGAATATTAATGCATGCATCTCATGGTTGATATGCCAAGGGGAATTAATTATATTGATTAAACCAATAAACCGCTTGTGTTGAGGTTATCAATCTCAATCGTTTTCATCTTAAGTTTATTGCTACTATCAAGTTAATTTACGGCGCTTGTTCTATATTGACTCGATAGTAAGTTTTATTAATGAACGCATCTCGTTATTAATAACTACCCTCGATGAACTGGATATACTCCTCGATTGAGTATTCGAGAGGAAGATAGTTAAAGATATAACCGGGATCGACGAACATTTCATTAAGTGGATAAAAGCAAAACCAAGTCCCCATCTCATTGAATTAAACTCATATAGGTCGTTTATCTTAGTGTTATTAAACCAAGCAAATCTAAACCCCCCTTGTTATTATTTTTATAAAAGAAAAGTATTCCTTTCCCTGTGGATACGAACCTTACTACACTATACTACGTATTAGTGTTGTATTGATTATTTATTTTGAGTGCACCTAACGACGAGTGCACGTCAGATACCAAGCTGATGTTGACCTCTAAGGAGTCTGGCTGGAAGCCAAAGATATCTGACTTGCATCAGATCAGACATTGCATACAGTGTTGGGGTTGTGAGTAGATATATGGAAGAACCCTGCCAATCACGCTAGAAGGTCCTCAAAAGGATTCTAGGATACATTCAAGGAACCAAATAATTGGACTGTATTACCAGAAGACAGATGACACAAGACTGATCGGCTTTCGCGACATTGACTGATGCGGAGACATAGATGATCAGAAGAACACAAACGGATTTGTTTTCAGGATTGGAAGTTCAATCCTCAATTGGTTGTCAAAGAAGCAACCAATAGTGTCTTTGTCAACATGCAAGGCCGAGTACGTTCCCGCCTCTCAGTGTGTGAGACATGTTGTGTGGCTGAGAAGACTCTTGAGCGAATTTATGCTCGACGAAGCAGTGCTAACTAAGATTTTTGTGGATAACAAATCTGCCATTGAGCTAGGCAAGAACCCAATTCATTGCGAAAAAGGGTAAGCACATTGACGTGTGTTTCCATTTCATCAAAGAGCAGATAAAACGAGGAGAAGTCGAGTTGGACTATGTGACGAGCAGAGACCCCCAGAAGGCAGACATATTTACCAAGCAAGCCCTTGGCGAACCCGATGTTCGATTACTTCAAGCGTGAGCTTGGCATAGAGGACAAGAGGGAATTAAAATTAAGGAAGATGTTTGATTGTCTATCATATATAAAGGCATATCATGTAATTCAAAGATGTGATTTTGTTGGACAGATGATGACCTCCTTCTCTTATAACATAACATAGTGTGTGTGAGTGTAATATTGTACCTCTAGGCTCCTTTTGTCTGCTTTTCTAACATAGTCACACCATATGGTTATCTAAACTTTGCTATTTAAGAAAAGAGATAGCACTGCATCCTTGAGAATATTCCAATCCTAGCGAAATAATTAACTCAATGATGTTAATCATAAATTGACAGATAGCAAGTGAATTCTCTCTCTGTATATAACAAACATTTGGTAAACACATAATTTTTCTTTAATTTCTTCTCAAAAAAATTGTTCATTGAATTCTTTCCTAAAACATAACACACCTATCTTACCTTAATTAGCTTCTTCAATGGACCACTGGCCTAATATTATATATATATATATATATATATATATATATATATATATATATATATATATATATATATATATATATATAAAAGTCGATCTTCGTAGAAGATGAAGAAACAAATACTCCGTAAAATCCATCATTCGACGAAAGTGCTCTTGGAAGTGCGATAAAGATCATAAGGAGCCCACAACTGATCAACGATGCAAGGTTTTCTTGAATCCAGCCTCAGCCACGGCTTGCCCTTTCCGCTCCAATGGAGCAGGCTGATGGGGCCAGGGTGCAAGCTCCTGCACTTGCCTTCGAGATTGTCCCCTCCCAACCCGTGTTGATTCCACCTGTGGTCAACCGGCGCTATGGTCCCAGCCAAGACCAGCAAGAACGGGGGCAAAGATCCCAGATGGTAGATCCTCACCTTCTGTTTCTGCACCATCATCCAGTCTTCTACCTTCTTCGTGTACCCTCCTTGCCTCCACTTATCCACATCCATCACCATCACGCCCGTGTTGAAGTAACACGGGTTGCGGTCCCGGAACGTCTTAGTTAGTTCCGGGTCCGCCCAGAATGTGTCGGTGAAGTAAGCGGTGAAGTTGGCATGGCAGTACTCGGGCGCTGCCAGGACTTTGTCGCCCAAGTCCACCTTCCAGAGCTTCATAATGTCATCCACGACCACAAGATCAGAGTCGAGATAAATGACACGCTTGACGTGTGGAGGGAGAATGTGCGCCAGGTAGGCCCGAGCATAGTTCAAGGGCTGGTCCAACGCCTGGCGAATGGACTTAGAGATCAAACCGCGTACCCTACTCGCGTCGAAACGATACACCTTGAAGTTTAGGTACGGGAACGTGGACCCGATGCTGGAGAACACCTCCGGCTCATGCCTCAGCCAGAGGAAGTGGAAGGCGACATTCTCGGGGCAGGAGGAGTGCTGGAGGATGGAGAGCACGGCGGCGATGGTTCCTCGAATGTAGTTCGCGTCTAGGGTCATGACGATGTGGACGAGGTGCTTGTCGTCGCTCTCCATTGACCCGCACGTGGCTCCGTTACGAAAGGCCGGGGCCTCATTGAAGAGAGAGATGTTTGCGGTGGGCCGCTTGCGGATGGCGAGGCGGATGTTGGCTGCGGCGCCAACAGAAGGGTGGTGGCTAATTAGCACGGAGCTGAGAGACAGGAGGCCAATAACAAATGAAGAGAATCTCCATGAGGCGGCCATCCTGTCCTTTTTGTTTTCCGATTTACGATGGAGTAGGAGATGTAGCCATCGGAGGCTGGTATAGGAGATATAGCCATTGGATAACAAAAAATAATAATTGATGATAAAAATAAGAATTAAGAAGCTAGTACGTACGTACATGCATGCATGGGCCGGAAATTAAGGGAGGGGTGGAGGTTGGTACGTATTATTGTGAGGGAGAGATGAAACCTCGCGCCATTATAACCTGCTTCCTCCATCCCAAAAAGAGATGCAAATTTGACTTTTCTTAGTCAAACAATCTCGTTTTGTTCACTTAATTTGGATGTCAATCATTAATTATGTTCTAATTTGAAGTTTACAACTTTGAAGATATTTTAATGTAGTTTATGAATATGTAAATTTTAATTATTAAAAATTGAATTAATTATCCATACGGAGGGTTGACTTTTATTATTGGTTGACCAAAAAATGTTGACTTTTCGAAACAAATTGGGACGGAGGGAGTAACATATTTGATGTTCTTTCAATTGCATGCTTTTTTGTTGAAGGTTCGCAACTCTGCCCGTTTGAAACACGCATGCATCACTAATGTATATACTTCAGGAATATTCCTCAAGTAGATTTAAAAATGTTCGAGAGTTTCAAAATAAAATTGTTATGTTTTTTTCCCAAAATAGATGTAACATAGTAGTATTGGTTGTCATCTTAGAGTCATTATTGTCAAAATAGTTGCAGTTCTACTAGGCACTAACATGAGGGTATTATTGTCAATAATGACATACAGTATTTGTCAATCATGCTAGTAATGACTCTTGTTTCGAAAAATTAAAACATAGCACTCTTATTTTTGCATTTCGAAACATTTTACTCCTACATACATAGTGCAATTTCCTTTAAACTTAAGGCATAAAAAAGTTAAAGTGAAATCACCTATGGAACTTTTTCAATCCAATGTTTTATTAATTTGTTATTTTCACTTAACTAATTTTACAAGTGCGGTTGGTTTATTAATTCCATGTGTGTGTATTTTTTATGTGTGTGTATTTTTTATAAAAATATAAATTTATAATAAGGATATTTTTATTGCTTTTTAGTTTGCTCAAGTTAATTAAAATTTATGGTCTGGTTTGGGGACTCAGAATCTTCGTTACAAAAAGTATCCTTAACCCCTTTGATATCAAGCTTTTCGGTTCCATAAAACACTAAGTAATTGACCTTAATAGGAGTAATACCCTCATTTTCCCTAAATATGAGTCCAATTAAATCATCCTTTTTTATAAATCTTCTGCAAATTAATAAGAATAAACATTAATTTTCTGTCATTAATATCTTTGATGGAAATTCGACCTTAGGGTAGGCGGAACCGGAGAAGCCGAGACTAAAATTAAGGATAAAATGGGATTTCAAAGAATGGTGATCCCTTTCCATAAGTTGAATGTGATATTTATAGTGCAAAAGAAATACTTTGGCACCAAGTAAAAAAGATGTTATTGTAATTTTCTTGACAAATTTTTAATTTCACATTTTCAAACTGATAACATGTAAATAAATATATCCAAAAGTAACAACATACAGTGTATCCTATCTAAGTTAGTCTAACCTAACTATAAGTATCCAACCTTTTTTTCCCCTTCCCCCACCTACTCAAAGGCAGGAGGAGAGGGTTTTTGAAAGGCCTAAAACTCAAAACTGGCGGGGAGACATGTTCCCCATCTCAATATCCAAAATCCACCGCACCTAATTTAACTAGGAGCATCTCCAATGCTACAATGTGCACGGTGCACATGTGAAATGCGAGATAGCCACATAAATAGTAGCAAATAAATTACTTATCTCCGTATTTAAATGGTTTTATACAATTTTTGGTAATTTTTTCTCCACAATGTCAAGAAGATCGTGATGTTAAGAATTATAGAAGGGAAATTAGCCAAAATAGGAGCAAATGACACTTGGAATTCCAAAAATAGGACTAGTATGTTTTTCTTCCCGAAATAGGAGTTATTACTGTCATGTATGAAAAATACTGTCATTAATTATAATAAATATTGTCATGTTAAATGCACTGTACTGCAACTATTTGGCAGTCACAACTACAAGATGACAGTAAATACTGTCGTGTTAGTCCCATTTCGGAAATAAAAACAATGTAGTCCTATTTTGGAATTTCAAACTTCATTTACTCCTATTTTGGGAAATCTCCCTTGATTTGTGGTTGACACTGCAGAGAAAAACTTACCAAACTTCTATAAAATCATTTAAATGAGAGATATAATTTATTTGCTAATATTTATGTGGTTATCTCTAATGCCACATGTGCACCGTGCACATTGTAGCATTAGAGATGCTCTAAGCATCCAAATTAGTTAGAATACAAGGCAGGTCAAACACTGATGGGCCACCAGCCATTATCACTGCTTAAGTAGCCCAATCCCTGTTTTTGCTGTGGAAATTACCTGTATCAACCACTTTTGCCTTAATCTTTCGTTTCTCTCCCGAGACAAACTTCTTTTCATTTATAACTTTTAAGTTTTCACTCTAGTTATTTTATTTCAAAAACAGTCCAAATCCTTAATACTTCGTACATATACTCCGTAACTTGCAATCGGATATAATCGATCTTACATCAGGAACAAACCAGAATATAATTTCTTCCTTCTCTGCAACATCGTCTTCGAATATAGCCGAAATTAGAGACTGGGATTCCTATCGATGAGACCGTAATCCAAGTCGGCGACCCCGATTGGGAGGTTTACAGTCTCAACCATGGCTGAATTGCAACTCACAACAGTCAGCTAGTCAGGTGAGAACCCGAGTCGGAAACTCCAACAGTGATCTGCTTTCAAAAACGGTGGATGTCAAAAGTAGCCTGGAATTATTCTTCGGATGTAAAGAAGATGCCGCCAAATTACGCCATCGACCATACCATCGTGAGCACACTTAAATTCCTTTGGATCCTCTGATTTCTTTCCTGAATTTAATTTCTCTTTTAAATTGATTTTCCATTCTGATTATATATGATATCGTGACTCTTTCGCGTACTTAGATAGAATGAATCTAAATATGTTATTTATTCATTTACTCTGAATTTATGTGTACTTAATGTTTTCCATTGTGAAAGTTATGTATGGAAGATAGTTTTGTATAACCTAAAGGCATTCTCAGATTTATTCAATCTAGGCAAATAGCTTTTCTCCAAAAATTCTACATCATGAAATGTGATTACCTTGAATGTTGTGAGCTTGTTTATCTGAAAAATTACTTATTATTGGTTACTACTGGCTTTTCATGTGATATTTATTTAGCAGTTTAGACTTTGTCATGGAAAATATTCAAAATTCAGTTGTTGTTCTCGTGGTGTTGCTTGACCGAAGATTTATTTCTAAGTTGATGCAGTTGAGATACAGTTAAATATGGAAAAGTTTTGAACATTAGGTATATTGTCAATAATATTTCATTAATTGTGAGATTTTTAACTTGTCATATTTGATTATTTTGTACTCCTTATGTGCCTTAGACTGTAGTGTTATATCTTTGGGTTGTAATTCTATATACCAAATATCAATCAAATGAGATAATTTTCACTATCTCATTCTGCAGAAGTTTCTTTCTTACATGGTTGGGTATTTCTTAGAGATGCAATTCCTTAACTCAACTCCACTAAATCATTATCTCAATTTAATTTAATCTGCTACATGGATTTTCTTTGCCCATACAGTTTTTGAGTTTTGAAAGTGAATAACAATTTAAGAGCTTCTTATTTTTTTTTTGGATGTTTAGTTGTTGAACTAAAGTAATGTAATTTTAATTTCATAGTAAATTTAGCATGCATCACGGTAATACATGCTAATATTGAGAAGGGGGGGGGGATTTTCGAGGGTTATGTGCAATGGTATGTATCCTTTCTTTCTAGCGTGTAAAATTGAATTTGGGGAACCAGTTAATGATTGGCGTTTCATCAATTAACAGGTCATAGCAAATCCATTAGGGGCTTTGAGTGCAATGGTTTTCATTTTTAAAGCCATTTCAAGTTGACAAGTAAAAGATAACACTAGTCCAATGTACGTTGTTTGCTCTAAATAATTTGTGAGGGTGGTTTTCTGTGCTTTTTTTAGTTTCAGGAAATGAAGAGCATTGATCTTTAACTTAGGTCATTCAGGTGTTGCAGGGGTACAAACGAGTTTAGTGATTTTAATTTATTTATTATGGATTCCACTATTTAAACAAAGCAACTATAAGTCATCCTTATGGGATTTTTATAATGTGCAAAATTTCAGATGCCTAGCAATGAAGAGTGGGAACGGTATCGTGCATGTCTGATCTTGAAGCTCCCATGAAGGATAAGCTTCTAAAGTACCTTGCTTAATGCTCAGTGCTTTTTCTTCTTAGTTTCTAAAGTAGCTTGCTTAATGCTCAGTGCCTTTTCTTCTTAGCTTCTAAAGTACATTGCTTAATGATTCTTTTCAGGCCATTGAGAAAAAGCCCTGAAGTTGAAGTATGACCTTCCCTTTACTTGGAACTTGGAAGTAATCAAAAGCTATTAGCGAGCATAAACTGTGTAAGGAGTACCACCATCAACTGGTGTGGAGAATGGAAAAGGATGGTATATGAATGACAATCCAGATTGAGAGACATTTAATAAGGCACACCAACACTTATATGGGTGACATACATGAGAAGAAACTACGAGAAGAAAAACCAAATAATATAATTGATAAGTGTACTAAATTCAAATAATAGATTGAATTGTATATTTGTTGTGACACTATGATATATTATTTTTTGTTGCTTTTTGTTGTACCATGTATATTTTATTTTGTTGCATCGTGTTGCATTTCGTTGCAACTTGTTATTTTTTGTTGCACCATGTTTCTTATTATTGTTTATTCAGAATTTTGTTGTTTATTTGGATTTCTATTTATTTTTCTTCATCCTTAAAATAGATATATATTTATATACAAACACTTAAAATATTAAATTTCAGTTAATGAATATGAACAACAACAAGAAACATGAAGAAACAATAAAAAACAGAATTTTGAAAGTTATCAACAAAAATAAACACAAAGAAACAATGAGAAAAAATTTGGCATTA